CATATACATGCTTTCTTGGGGAAAACGAGAAATACTGGAATGATAGGCCAGTAGCTAGTAAAACTGATGATTCTCTATGGAGATGGGAACAGGTTGAAGAGGAGGGTCAGAGTGAGACTTTCCTGAATAGATTTTTTATATAGCTTTGACTTTTGAACCACGGAAGTAATTGCATATTTTTAAACTATAATTAAATCAAAAAAGAAAAGAAGCAAATTCTAAAACTGAAAACAAAATGAAACAAAAACAGCCTAGCTATCTCTCAAACTGACAACAAATCACACCAAAAAAAGCCTGGTTTCAGGTGACTTTATAGCCTAGTGACCATACATCCTTAGTGGATTACACTCTAAGAGCAAAAAAGAAATGCAACTTCAATCAGATTTATTGTTATAAGTCATATTGGTATTGTGATTTCAAAACTTTTATGTATATTGCAGGATAGAGTAGGTAAGAATTATGTTAATATAAAAAAAAAAAACCCAAATGTTTAGCTTAAGAGAAAAAGAGATATACAATATAAGGTTAAATAAATGAATTCTTTGATTTTTATTTAAAAATACCAATATGGACTCATTCTGAAAACACATTTCTTAGATCTGTCTACTGAAATGAACCAGGAGCACCACAAACACCCTAGCACCCACATCTTGATTTCTAAATATCATTCTCCATTAAAAAGAAACCAGGATGGTCTGGCATGGTGGCTCATGCCTATAATCCCGGCATTTTGGGAGACCAAGGTGGGTGGATCACCTGAGATCAGGACTTCGAGACCAGCCTGACCAACATGGTGAAACTCCGTCTCTACTAAATACAAAAAATTAGCCAGGCATTGTGGTGCATGCCTGTAGTCCCAGCTACTTGGGAGGCTGAGGCAGAAGAATTGCTTGAACCCAGAAGGTGGAGGTTGCAGTGAGCCAAGATTGCACCATTGCAGTCCAGCTTGGGCAACAATAGTGAAACTCTGTCTCAAAAATAAAAGAAAGAAAGAAAGAAAGAAAGGAAGGAAGAATAAAAGAGAAAGAAAGAAAGAAATCAGGGCAGCTTGAAGAAATGAGTTCAGTGTAGACCAGCTTCAACGACAAGAGCTAAACTGTCTCAAAAAAAAAAAAAGAAAGAAAGAAAGAAAGAAAGAAATCAGGGCAGCTTGGAGAAATGAGTCCAGTGTGGGGACAAGGATGCCCATGGTGAGCCCAGGACATTCTATTGTGCTGGAGCCGAGACTGACTGGGCCACAGTGAGGACCTGAGCTAGCAGGAAGTGGCTGTCACACCAGCTTTGAAACAACCTGAGTGTCAGAAGCAACATGGACTATAAACAATGTTAACGTGCGGGATGAATGCAACTATGAATCTATACACACAAAAATATAAAAATAAAACACTCAGGCAGCTAATCCAAGACTTCCAGCAGCCTTTCATCCCACAGGCCCTTTGCTAGGATGGTGATATGGTTTGAATCTGTGTTTCCACCAAATCTCATGCTGCACTGTGATCCCCAGTGTTGGAGGTAGGGCCTGGCGGGAGGTGATTGGAACATAGGAGCAGTTTCTCATGAATGACCCAAACCATCCTTTTGGTCCTGTCCTCATGATAGTGAGTTCTTGTGAGATCTGCTGTTTACAAGTATGAGACACCACCCCCATCCTGCCCACCCTGCTCTCTTGCTCCAGAGTGGTTGTAAGATGTGCCTACTCCCCCTTCACCTTCCACCATAATTGCAAGTTTCCTGAAGCTTCCTCAGAGGCCAAGCAGATACTGCCATGCTTCCTGTACAGCCTGCAGAACTGTGAGCCAATTAAACCTCTTTTGTTTATAAATTACCCAGTGCCAGGCATTTCTTTACAGCAATGTGAAGATGGTCCAATACAACAGATGGAATCACTGCTGCACTAAGATGTGGTTATATTTATCACCATGTTGTTTAAAACAGAGGAAAAACTGGACATAGCCTGAAGATCTAATGGAAGAGTGGTAACTACATAAAAAGCAATACCTCCATACAACTGGAACACAGCGCAGCTGGACTGCAGCAGAATACATGCATCCTTGTTGAAAATGAAGCACGTTTATGACAATTTGCTGCTGAATGAAAAAAACAAGTTACAACAACAGCATGTGGAGGAAACACCATTTTGTTTTGTTTTAAATGTATGTATCTACATATATAAAAATTATGCATAGGAAGACCATTATGATGTATACCAAAATGAACCATTTTGAAGTGGAATTATGATTTTTTTCCTGTTTTTGCCTATCTGTGCTTTCTGCAATGAAAAGAGAATAATTTCATAAAAAAAGATATTAAAAGTTAAGTGTATAGGAGAGAGAAGTTTGCTAGTTCTATGGAAGGGAGTGGCACTGAGGCACCTCAATGAGAGTTTGAAACCACAGAACAGCTTTCTCTGGGAGAAGTGCGATCTCATGCCTAAAAGGCACAGCAGTAAGACAGGACAGCAGTGCCACCAAGTGGACATCAATGGGCCCGCTCGGGCTGACCCTTTCTGGCTCGCAGTCCCAGGAAAGAACAGGACTGATGGTGCATCTTTCCCCAGGCTCTGTCTCATCCCAACGCCTGCAGCACAAGAGGCTGGGGTAGGTGTCCTTACTGGCTGCATGGTGCCCCCCAGGTGGTGCCTACACCACCCAGGTAAAGTGCACAGCTGGATTCAGGAGCAAGAGCCTCTGACTGAGGCTGCCTGGAAAAAGAGATGTGTGGGGAGAAGGTGAGTGCAGGTCCAACAGACACTTGTACTGTGGCAGCAAAGGGGGTCCCCAGGTGGGTCCATGTCTGACGCAGAAACACTAGCACTTTTTCTTTAAATTAAATCCCATTTAATCTCCAGGGCAGCCATCTCGCTAAGTGGGCTGTACTATCTGCTCCCTTTTCACATGAGGAAACTGAGGTTGAGAGAGAAAGAAACTGGTCCAAGTCACATGGCTTATGGATGATGAAACCATGACCCAAACCAAAGCCCACCTACCCCCTAACACAAGCTTCTCTGGGATCCTTGCCTGAGAGGATCCCCATCCTTGCCCCTCTGTCCCCTCCCGTCTACCTTCACTGCTTGTCCAAGTCACAGCCAGTGCCCACTGCACTGCTTCCTCCTAACCCAGGAAGGTGCAGAAGGAAAGAATCCTTTCATGCTGAGCTCCCTGGGTGAGAGCACCGCTCTGTACTGTTTTGTGAAGTCAAATAGCTGGGTGGGATGAGAGAGAGCAGTGGAGAGAAATGAGGAGCAGCCATGAGGGGGAAGCCGACTGAACCAGAGGCTCTGTAGGCCTGAGACGCCTGCAGCCCACAGCCCACCACCCCAGCAAGGCCTGCTGCACCAAGAAGGGTGGGGATGAAGGGGACTCTGGAGTTCCCCAAGGCCAGAGGGGGAATGCATGTGAGGGGCAGGGGGGTGGGGTGCAGCTGGATCCTGTTCAGGCCCACAGGAGAGTGAAGCAAGCATCTCTCTGTTGACTGTGCTCTTCTCACAGTGCTGCTGTGCCTACAAAACCAAGCCCAGCTGTAGTCATGTGTGCAAACAGAGTGAGCTGTCATCTAAATTTTTAAAAAGATTTCCACCTCCACCACCCAGGAAGTGTGATCCACTCCCACCTTCCAAGGCATCCTGAGCCCCTTGCTGCCAACTTGTCATCCCTCTCTAATACCACTTCTCTCTACTGCCCCTGCCCACAACACAATGCCCTCCTAGGTTGGGGAGATGCTCTTCTCAAACACGTCTCTGTGGCTTTCAAGTTTCTCTAAGGTTGTTCATGAAAATGTATGCCTCCTCAGCTTCCCTTCCATGTGACAGCATCTAAACTGGGCCTTGAATAATTAAGAGTTTAAGAAAGGAACTCCTGTGAGCAAAGGCATAGAGGAAGTGAATCCTGGGGCCTGCTCATGGACAGGGGCAGTGCTGTTCAGTTAATGGTACCAATGCATGTGGTTTGGTGACAGATCTTATTAGCTTGGGATGCAGACATGAAAAGTTTGCAGCCTTTATAGGTTTCTAAAATGACTGATGGCCTTTGACAAAGATTCTCCCAATGGTGGGTGATAAGGCCCATGGGAAGAGGTGGGGAGAAGGAAAGCAAGGGGGGCAGAGGGAGTGCAAGGGAAGGAGCACCTGTGGCCACATCCCAGCGGTGGGAGAAGTGTGGGAATGCAGGACTACCTGGCGGCTGTTACGGGGTGTGGGACACAAGGGCCGAAAGGCATCAAAGATGACATGGATCCAGCCTGTCTGAGAGGGATGATGGCAGTGACAATTACCCATATGGGTAATTCAGGAGGAAAGCTGACTTCAAGGATAAATGCAGGCAGGATGGGAGGAACGCAAGGCCTCGGATCAGCGCAGCCAGGTTTGAAGGCTGGCTCCACCACTTGCTGTTGGCTCACTCATGGGAAGCCTGTGCATGCCATCCTCCTGAAGTCACCTCCCTGGGCCTCGGTTTCCTCTCCTTGCCAGGGACCATAGAATATCCTAGCTCAGAGCCACTGTGCCTAGCATACCACCTGGAACACAGGCTGTACCCCATCCCCGGAGGCTGCCACTGTGGCTGAGTCGAGTCATGAGGTTAGGGTTCAGGTGCCAGTGGCCATGCTCCCCCTGGGGTAGTGCCAGGTATGCAGGCCTGCAGTCAAAAAGAGTCTGAGGCTGCAGCCAGACCCAAGGCCCAAGTTGGAATATGAGAGAGGGGTCACACAGAACAAATCAACATCCCGCTTCTGTCCAAAAGCCCGAGGGAGGCTGTGTTTGAAGAGGGAGGGAGGCAGTGAGGATCTCGGGTCATCATCTGTGCTATGGGGCACCAGGAAAGGTGGCTGTCTCACTGATTCCTGTGGCCTTCACCCTAGAGGAAGGTGACTTTTGTCTTACAAACACGCTGCATTAAGGGTTAAGTAATTACACTCTGTTTTAGATCCTCACATGGCTTGAGGACAGGAATTTGCTTTTTCTTCCATCCATCATCTATTTTTTTTTCCAGATGAATTTATCTTTATTTATAAATAAGACAAAAATCCAAGCAGCATTAATTTAGGGGAACAAAAGATGGGAGGAAAAAAAGGAGGTAGAAGGAGCTGGTGAGCATCCAGGAGAGGAGGAAGTAGGAAGAGCCAGTGTCCACCATGTGCCTCAGGGTGGCAGAGTGTCTCTGCAGCTGCAAAGCCCTTCTTTCCAGCTCCCTGGTGGGCGGCCAGACAGTAGAGGGAACTCTAGTGACTTTGGGACAAGCCCTGGAGCCCTGTCTGGCTGCTGACATGGGGAGTGCCTGGATTTGCCCTAATCAACCTCCCACCTTCACCATCGCCCAAGTGAGGCAGCTTTTTAACTCTCCTGGCCAAAGTCCTCTGAGAATTTCTTCACTTTCAGGAGGTCGTCTGCATTCACCGTGGGCCAGGTGGTAGCCAGAGACCACGGCATGTCTGACATGAAAACTACAGGCTCTAAGAGTTTGTCCCCAGGGACATCCATCCAAGTCATCTCCATGTACCCTGGGTCCCCTGGTAAGCATGGGGCCAGGAGGTCATCGATCATCATGCTGGGATTGGTGCGGGAGGGGCCACAGACCTTTTTGAAGCGTGTGGCTGACTGCGCCTTCCTCACGGGCTGCATGAGGGAGTCCCACACGATGATGCGGATGTCCTCGCCCAAGTAGCCTTCGGTCTTCTGGACCAGCTCGTGGATGTTTGCATCCGTGAGGTTGTGGGGGGTGCCCCCCAGATGCAACCAGAACATCTGTGCCTGGGCAGTTTCCTCTGGCAGGGGAATGTAAATTCGCTTCTCAAACCTCTTCCTGATGGCTGAATCCAACACCCATGGGATGTTCGTGGCTCCAAGAACCAGAGTTCCATCGTTGTTATTTCCTACCCCCTGCATCTTGACCAAGAACTCCATTTTGATCCTCCAGGCAGCCTTGCTCTCATTTTCATTTCAGGATCCACAGAGGGAATCCACCTCATCGATGAAGATGATGGAGGGCTTGTGCTGCCTGGTCAGCTCAAACAGGTTCTTGACCAGCTTCTCACTCTCCCCGAGCCACTTGAACATCAGATCTGAGGAGGACATGGAGAAGAAGGTGGAATTATTGGCCTCTGTTGCCACAGCTTTGGCCAGGTGACACAAAGGTCACCATGAAGGAAATCTTACTAAATTCAGTGAAGCGAAGAAAAGGATCCCAGAAAATTTCAGGCCCTCAGTACTGCCTGGAGAAGCAGAGCAAGCCCAATGTCGCCATTGACCTGGACAGCACTTTGGAGAGCCAGAGCACATGGGAGTTCTGCCTGGTCTGCGAGAACAGTTCAAGGGCAGATGGGGTTTTTGAGGAGGATTTGCAAATTGACATAGCCACAGAACAGGATATGTTTAGCAGCCACCATTACAAGTCATTCAAAGTCAGAATAGTCCACAGACTGTGATTCACAACCGACATATAGCTAGGTATCTCTGGAGACAAAGTAGAGATAGACCCTGTTACGAATCAGAAGGCCAGCACTAAGTTTTGGATTAAGCAGAAACCCATCTTAATCGGTTCTGACCTGCTCTGTGCCTGTGACCTTCCTGAAGAAAAAAGCCCCAGTCACGCAATAATTTAAACTCACGTATCTAAGCAATCACGACTATAAACACCTCTACTTTGAATCGGATGCTGCTACCATCAATGAAATTGTGCTCAAGGTTAACTACATCCTGAAATCGCAAGCAGGCACTGCCCGGGCTGACTAATTTCCTCAAAAACAAAGAAAACTGAACAAATGTACAAGCTTCAGCTTCCAGAAGGAGAAGAAATCTGGGCAGTAGTGACACTGGCCTCCAGCCTCAATCTGTTCCGTAGCTCATAGCCTGCCTGCCAGGGCCAAATGCCCTAGAGCCTACCCGGTGTCCTGAAGTCCTCGGGGGGAGACCAGCCCCTGGCTCACTGGCACCGGGTAGGTGGGTCCTTGGGAAAAGTGTCGGGGCCCCCTAGGAAGAAGCACTGGGGACATTGCCATGTACTGAATCCTGCCTGGCAGTGGCTTTGATTAGTGATGCCTGGGGGCCAGACCACCCCCTGGAGGAGCCACGTGCCACACAGCCATCTTCACTGCCTGCCACCCTGCCCGAGGAGGTGCAAAGCCATGCCCCGGCATTTCCTTGCAACTTGATCAAATTTCTTAAAGCAAACAAAGAACAAAAATGTACATTTCTGTTTTTCATTTTAATAAACAGGTGTACTCTTTAAAAAAAAATGTTATCACCAGGTGGTGATAACAAGGAAATCGGATGTGGAAAGGTGAACAGGTTGATGTCTATCTGGCTCTGGAAGAGAGAGGCGTTGATTCTTCAGCTCCATCCCTAAGAGCAAACACAAGAAGGGCCTTGGGAGCTTCGCTATGAGCCCTCAGCTTTCAGTCCCAGGATTAAGCTCAGAAGTGGCTCAAATCAGCTCTGGTCCCTCTGACAGCAACTCTCTTACCTGTCTGTGAGAGGCTCTGTGTATTGGGTTTTTGCTTAATATTCCATAAAAAAGAGAATCCAAACAGGTCAGGATGGTGGTCCTCTGGCCCCCCTTCACTATCTTCTTTCCCTTCACACTGTGCACATCAAGTAAGAATAGCATCCATATTTGAACGGTTTTGTTTTGCTGTTTGCAAAGGATCCACTGAGAGAGCAGGCGGTTTAGGAGCCTCCCACACCTGACTCACATGCCTGTGAAATGGGAGTTCCCCACCTCCCCTCACAGAATGTGTAATGGGGTGGCTTACCTACTGGCTCACCCCCACTGCTCAAACCCCTACGGGGAGCATGCAGATGGGCAGGTGCAGAGGCTGGGGCAAGTGCTTTTGGGCTTTGGCCCATGGCAGGGCCTAGAGGTGGGTGTCCTCGACTCCTGAAGCCCAAGTGGGCATGTGTTACGAAGCTCTTTCAGTGTTCTGTCTGCAGGCTGCTTGTGTTGTTAATTGTGTTGTTAATTAGCTCAATTGACCCTCTGCCTTATTTTAAGGGCAGAGGGTCAGTGTGACAGCTTTCTGAATTCTGCACACTTGCCCAGTTTCCCCCCAAAATTGGATCACACGTGGGCTCAAAGGATAAGTGCAAGATTTTGCTGAGTGGTGGAGGTGGCTCCCAGTGAGATGGTTGAGGAGTCGGAAGAGGGGTTGGAGTAGGAAGGTGGTCTTCCCCTGGAGTTGGGCTGCCTCCTACTGCCCCCAGCCAAACTCCCCTTAGTGTCAGATGTCCCCCCTCTTCTCCCTTTTTCTGCTGCATTGTTCTGTCATTGCTGGTCTGCTGGTCTTGACATTCAGCCACTTGTGTGTGTGCCTACTAAGGTCTTGAGTTTATATGGGGGCAAGATGCAGGGAATGGTGGGCCAAAAGGCAACTTTTGGGGCACAAAACCAGATACACCTGTCCTCATTTAGGGCCATGGGTCTTCAGGGTTAAGGGTGGGGCCTTTGCCTGGGAACCACCCTTTCCTATCCAGTATTTCCCTGTCTCCTGTCTGTATCACCTGCACCTAGAACCAAAAGCCCTGTAAGTTCATGCTTTTCACTTTCCCTCCAGGAGGCCAGGACACAGCAGCCAGGCCAACATATGCAGGGCATAGGAACACACAGGAGCTGCCCAGACCACATGGTGAGCCTGAGGCAAAGCAGGGCTGGAGGCTCAGAGCAACAGCACAAGACCAGCTCCTGCCAGGAAAAGCTCCCACAGGCTTTCTGCAGCTTCTGTTTCCACAGATGCCTTCCAAGGGGCTGCCCCATGATAAATGAAGGGGATGCAACAGAATCATGCACAGCAGCATGGGAGCTGGAACCGTAAGATCTCAGGCTCCCATGCTGGGCTTGTGAGCTGTAAGCGACCCTTGCTCTGAGCACTAGTTTATGCATCTATCAATGAGGGTTCTGTCCCTCTACCTCAGAGGGTTGCATCTCACCTGTTTCACTCCATGTACTGCAGCAGCTGGGAATGGGTCTGGCTGAGCTATGGAGAGAACACAAACCAGGCTTTGGATGAGCAGCTGAGGGCTGCACTGCTGACTTCTTAGACATGCCTAGAAGATGCTGACCCCAGGCACACAGGAAGCCAGCAAGGGGAAAAGTGGGGGCTGGGTTTAGACAAAAGGTATGGGTTGACATGGTTTGTAGGCTGGTGGGAGCTGAGAGAGAGGGGAAGGAAGGGAAGTTCTGCTCCAGTGTCCACTGCGGGTTAGAGGAAAGCAAGAGGCTGAATACCTCAAGTCCTGACTCTCCCTGCCACTTTCCAGTGGGTTGAGAAAAGACTTGAGTCAACAGAGTGATGGTTTGGGTTCACCACCACATCCTGGCCTCAATTCAACCTCTGCACAGGTCAGTAGAGACAGTGAGATGCCATGGGGCTCTCGTGGTCAGAAACAATTGGGTGTACCCCAACTCCACCCTCATGAGTGGCATGACCTTAAGACATGGCTTAACCATCTCCAAATCTCCAAGTTCTCAATGTAAACCAGGAGTACCACCCCCCTGGCAGAGTCAGTGTGAAGACCAGAGACACGATGCCATGCATGGCGCATGATAGGTCAGCAGGAGGGGCCTACGCTGATCTTGAGGATTCCTCGGTTCAAACCCCTTTAGGCAACATCAGTAATGACAAGATCCAACCCTGAGGGACTCCTGCCTTGCTCATGCCATCTCCCTGGCTTACAGAACTGGCTGCTGGTATCCAGGGCTGGAGGGACTCAGGAGCATGGGGGCTAGTGAGGTGTAGGTAAATGAGCCACTCTGCTAGACCGGGGTTCCTAGAGTTCTGGGCTGCGCAGGAAAGCCATGGTCAGCCTCCAATGAGGTCACTGCTCTGACTCAGTGTACCCTCCAGGAAGCTCCACCTCCAGAGGAATCCCTGTTTCAGGTGTCTAGAGGAACCATCCATATCCTTTTGCCCCATGGCAACCCTGGCCTGGGGAGGGTAGGCCCACTTATCTGGAAGCCACTGACCTCCACACTGTGCATGCCCATGATGGAGCTGATCAGGGTGTGTGCCTTATCCATGATCGCCACCTGACCTGCAGCTACATGCCCACAGCCTACTGGTGGCCGCTTGCAGCAGCATCTGACAGGGCAGCCGTGCCAGCTGTGACAGGAGATGTGGGGACCTGAGCAGGGCTAGGCTCCCCTGCAGCAGCCTCACCTGCCCAATAGTAAGCTCCTGGTGCCAGTGCCTCTATTTTCTGCCTGGGCTGTGTGTAGGGACGTTCCAGAGATAGCTTGTAGCAATGAATGCTTTCCTCAAGAGTTTACGTGGAAAGTCAAATACATGAAACACAGGAAACTGGGACTGGCCTGACTCCTGAGTGAGCCAAGGGCAGGGCTGGGTGAGAGGGGACCCTCCCCCCCCACCCCCGCTCAGCCTTGTCCATGTCCCCAAGGTGGCCCTGGAGGGCCCAAAGTTTCCACAAAACACCGCGAAAACCACTGGTGCACCAGGAAGCAGCCGGGCTTCTGCTCATGGAGCTTCCAAAAAGCAAGACCAGGCCAAAAGGCAAGGCTAGGCCAAAAGACAAGGCCAGGACAGACCAAAAGTCCAGGCCAAAAGGCAAGTCCAGGCCAAAAGGCGAGGCCATGCCAAAAGGCCAGACCAACACAAAAGGCAAGGCCAAGAGGCCAGGCCAGGCCAAAAGGCAGGGCAAGGCTAAAAGACAAGACCAGGACAGACCAAAAGGCCAGGCCAAAGTCTAGGCCATGCCAAAAGGCCAGGCCAGCCCAAAAGGCAAGGCCAAGAGGCCGGGCCAAAAGTCAAAGCCAGGCAAAAGGGCAAGACTGGGCCAGGCGAAAAGGCAAGGCCATTCCATGCCAAGAGGCCAGGCAAGGCTAAAAGGCCAGGCCAAAATGTCTGGCCAGGCTAAATGGCCAGGCCAAATGCAAGGTGAGGCCAGGCCAGGCCAAAAGGCCAGGCCAGAACAAAAGGCCAGGCCAGGCCAAAAAGCAAGGCCAGGTTAAAAGGCGAAGCCAAAAGGTCAGGCAAGGCCAAAAGGCCATGCCAAAAGGCAAGGCCAAGCCAGACCAGGCCAAAAGGCAAGGCCAGGACAAAATGCCAGGACAAAAGGCCAGGCCAGGCAAAAAGGCCAGG